ACAGGGCTTCCATTCCAAACACCCATAAATTGCCGTTATTCATTGGATTGTTGTTTTTTTGGCCTCGGAGTGTTTGTATAGGATTAACAGTTGAATAAAGCTATAATGAATATTTTATTTTAAAACTATCGAAATAACTTATTGATTGCTCTGCGTTGTTTATTGCCATCACCACAACGAAAATCAAGAACTCTAATTCTTTGTTGCTTGCTCAATCGCTATACGTGTGGTAATTTTTCCGTCCTTCGTATATTGAAGTTAACATTTCAGTTTTCTTGATCCTCAAGTTTTACTATTAATTCTTGAGAAAGTTTCGCTTTTAACCCACAGGGAGAAATCCGTGCACAAGCAATGGGCAAGAGAAACAATTTAGAAAAAATGAAGACATTTGTTTACATCTGGCGCTTTCAAAACTTTTAGGACAAATATTTGATTAACATCAGTGATGAGTCATCGCAATCAAACCATCGTGTTAGTTACTAGCTCCTTCGCATCCTAAAAGGTATGTAGGTCGTTGAATTCTGTACAATGCGTTGTCTATAGTTTGATCGGATAAAGTATGTAAAGCAATGTAGGTCATGTTTTATAAACTATATGTTTGTAATAGTTACAATGTTAACTTTATTCTTCATCGAATATGCGTAACTTTCGATACTTAACTACTTCTGCAAGTACGCATTATAAACCATCGTGCTTCATGAGTCATTAACTATAACAATCAGCAGTATGACTAACAACTGTGACTCATTGCGTGTGTATTGCAATGTTCTAATGATTTCGGAAATGATGAGTTGAGATTTTTAGAAGTATTATCTTTTTATTATGTTATTCACTTTCACCTGCCGGATGTTGATGTTTCATATATTTTCCTTTACATCTATGACGAAAAGAATCATAGTTATTTTTATACATTTCCGAATTATCTTTAAATATGGTCGTGAAGTTTCACAGCAATGATATTATTATATCCTTCCAAACAGGTTTACGAGTATATTTAGCGTAATGTAAAAAAAAGACCTGCATAAAGATAAAATCTCAGGAAGAATGGCATTCTGAAAACGTGATTTCTGAGCCAAAAACTCCACAAAATAAAATTGCTTAAAAATATTTTCTTTCACGGAAATTAAATATCACCACACTTTTCTAGTCTTCGACATTACAGACACATTGCTATTGATAGATCAAGAGAAACATCCTTACAGCTTTCATGAACGCATTTGCAAATGCCATTACAATCTTGAATGAGATAAAGGCAGCTGAGATTCTAGGCGTCTGACAGAAGGCAGGATCAGCCAACCACTTGGGAGTCGCGCATCCACCCCTGCTCAATACGAGGCGGCGTCGCTCCAGTCAACCAGCTACGTGCAATGGAAGCAACAACCGTTGACGAGTTGTTCTTAGATCAAAGATCTGGAAGAGTCGTTTTCATAATTACTTGTATTCTGTTCCCGCACATCATCCTCACGTGAAGAATCACACTAGAACCCGATATTCTGGACAAGTTTACAATCTCCTGAAATGTCACGTGAGTGCAACATTATAATTAAGAGTGTAGATCGATGTAGCACTCCAGGAAAAGAACTCACGATCCACTACATTCGCCGAAATGAGGATAACAATAAATACAAGTACATTTGGTACAGATGTATCTTGTCTCCAATGAATACGTTCCATCGAATTATAGCAACGCTCTCTTATACAAAACAGAACTTAATTCATTTTATATTCGACACGAAGACAATACGTTTCCAGTGTTATTTCGAACTACGTACGTTCAAGAAATAATTTACACCGCAAAACAGATTTGAACATGTTGATGATCAAGATATAAAATGAAAGGGTTGTGACTATTATTAGTAGGCACAGCGTAACTCATGTGAGTCGAGACCTGAATTACTGAATTAGCATAATAAAAAATAAGAGCATGACGAGGTAGGTAGATGGAAACAATAGAGAGCCCAAAGAGTGAGTAATGGGGTACCAACCAAAGGAATTCATTTTACGTAACAATAAGAATGGCTATTGCAATTTCGATCAGGAATCGTTTTCAGAAACCAAGAAGACATTATCTCGTTACTGCGCGGTATTTATTTTGTAATGGTTGGGTTTGTGCCATGAATCATATCCTACAAAAACGAGCTTCACATCTACACTGACTTTCTCTGCTTGAATTAACATATTTCATAGACAATGTAGCGCGAATGAGGCAAAGGATCGCTTCTGAAATTTAGGTAATCGTCATCATCACTCCCATTCTGAGAACGTTACAATTTTCAACAGTTTTACATTATCTTTGTTTAAACTTAATAAAAATATTATGAATGATTCGAAAGAAAAGGAATAAGAATCAATTGTAGCTGTGAAATCAACATTATTTGACCCACATGAAGTTATAGATTAAACTATATCTCTTTCAAACCTATGAAACAACATAGAAGATAACGAAAACGCTGAGTCGGACTCACCTTCAGCCAGTCCCGCAGCCACACCACTTCGGGCTTGGGGTCTCCCACCACCTCGCAGTGGATGATGACCGTATCTCCTTCGAACGCCTCAGTGGACAGCGGCTTGGTCAGGAACAGCGGCTCCTTGGAGTAGCTGCACACGCACATCATAGGGGCAATTGTCAGTAAGCGATTCATTGAATTTCGACACGAAAATATCCAACTGTTGGGACAACGTGGGCAGCGGAGGTCGGAAACGTAAGTGTCTTGTCTCCCTGGGCTCCAGGAGTGCGGGCCCGATGTCCGCTTTCGGCATGAGTGTTTATATGGATTTGCATACTGATTTGTGAACCTTCAGGGATAATGCAAGCCAAGAGATATAACCCTTAAGAATGCATAAAAACGACTTAATGTAGGATTTACTTGGTTAATTGATTGCCGTTTCCCGGTACAACTGCATTAGTGTAGTTGGCGATCATTTCTCTCCCGCTGGATGGTGAGATCCGGCGCTAATCTACACGTCAGCTAGCGAGCCATTTACCTTTCATGTATCTCCCACCAATGGGGACCGGCCTCTACCGTGACAAGGTCTCCCAGCATACGTGAAAGTGAAGTACGTGTGTGTGTGTGTGTGTGAGGAGAGAGAGAGGATACAACAAGGAAGAGGAAGAAGACAGCGCGCAGTCCGTGGCCCGTTTCTTAGAGTGCTTTCTCTTCGAGAAAAAAATAAAGAAAAATTGGAGCCGTTATGAGAAAATAATTATTTAAAAATTGTTCATATTTTTAAAAAAATATGCAAAATTAATCATATTTTCGAAATATTGTACAGGCCCTTATTCAAAGTCCTGTTGTTGGAGTAAATATTTCATTAGGGAAAAAGTCTATATTTCTACAACTATTGAAGTTGTAGATAGACGTCGAAAAAAATCTTGGATATTTGCAATTTTCGAAAATTCAGAGTTGAATGAAAATTATAACTGCGTCCTTTTAGGCGTCCTTTGCTCTGTCCAAGGAGAATAAATGTTCAAAAATCTGGCTAAAATTTGGCCATTTTAGATAAAATTTTGAAAATATGGTTGAAACTTCTTGTAAAGTACCTCCCAAATCACAACATCCGTTCCCAATTCGCCGGGCCTTGAGTTCGGCCTGATCGATAGTCTACCACTGCGCTGACTAGACGGCGCCTGCGCTGACTAGACGAATGTACGAAGAGATACAGAGAGAACTCTTCAATTACCGAAGCAAATTGTTTTTGCTAGACTGGAACGATTACTCGCATTTCCTTTCGTAGAGATACAGAATATACAGAGACTTTTGCCGTGAACGAATTTTTCGTATGCCGGACTCATAAAACGCGGATTCTCACTACAGAACATGTTAGACGAAATAATACACTACTTGTAGGAACAAAATTAATAATTCTATTTTGGTACCAGCGTCCCAGAACGGGCGAGAGTTTCTGACCGCCACTTTCTGCTGTATCATTTTAATACCTTGTCTTTACTGCGTATGCACTACGTACGAGACGGGAAAGTAAAAAGAAAATGATTAGAAATTTAATTCATATTCGAAAACGTCTCAAAATAGTATTAATAAGATGCGTATATTCACAAATAGCGAATTTATTTTCCATGTATTTCGATCTATGCCTACTCCGATTAGTAGACATCCCCAAGCCGTATTCCGGTCTTCTCAACCTCAGAAGTGAATTTTCTCGTCGTCACACATACTGGGCAATTGCAAGGAAAACGCACACTATAGTCTTGGCTCGACCGGGGACGCATAGTGGAAAGCGAGCACGCTAACCAAGAGCTAGTCACGAGCCCTATTACATTGTACTAAGTAGAATTAGGATTAAATATATCAATAATGGATTTAGAAAAACATGATAACAAGAAATATTCGTTCCAGTCTAGCAAAAACAATTTGCATCGGCAATTGAACTACAAATTTCGGCTCTTATCCATGATTTGCCCTATGTTAAAGAAGAGACTCACTAATGCGAGAACATGAAATACGATTATTTATTTAGACTAATTAAGAAATAACTATATTCCCCGCTAACACTTCCCAGAGCTCATCAAACAGGCTTACAGCGTCAAGCTAGATTTACTGTCCAATAACGGTGGAAACAAATCAACGGAAACCAGACAAAAAAACAATCGAGATGACGGATTTAATGGAAGTCGTCGTCTTGCGCTGCCAGAGTCTTGCGAGTGCTCGCGGCTCTCTGAGTGACGCTGCGCAGGGACCACTGTGCTCAGGAAGGCCACGACAAGATGGCCAAAACATCTTCGACGCGGCGTCAGGCACTCATGCTCAGGAAGTCCACCACGAGATGGTCGAAACGTCAGTATGACATCCTTGGACGCGGCGTCAGGCTGGGATGACGCGTTGAAGGCTGTGAGGGTCAGGAAGTCCACGACGAGATAGTCGAAACGTCGGCTTCACAGGCTCGCACGCGGCGTCACCCGGCCAGCCGAGAGCACTCGCAGCGAGCTCCGTTGTGTACGCGGTGGGCGGCGCGCAGCTCGGCGAGCGCCAAGGGACTTACGGGACGTCGGGGGCGACCACCTCGGGCACCTGGCGGTCGGGCGGGGGCGAGGAGCCGAGCACCTGGACGCGACAGCTACTCTCAGCGCGGCCCACGGCGTTGGCCGCCGTGCAGCTGTAGAGGCCCGCGTCGCGCGCTCCGACGCCGGCCAGCGCCAGCTCCACCGTGCCGTCGTGGTCCAGCGTCATGACGGCGCGCCGGCTGGGGCGGAGCCGCACGCCGTCGCGGTGCCTGCGCACACGCGCACCCCGCGTTCGCGTCTTATTCTACTATGTAATCCATATGAGAAACTGTCCTTTGTGGAAGTTAAAAATAACATGACCATATTTTTATATAATTATTAACTGAAGTAAACGTTTTATTTAATAAAGTATTAGGGTCCCCCAGCCACTGACTCTCTGATACCCGAACATTTGTTTTACTACGTAAGTATTTAGTGTGCGAGAATGTAAAAAATATTTGCATTTTTCATTTTAAATACTGCTCAAAATATATTTCATAACATGAGTATATAGTCTCATATTTCAATTTTTTTGCATATATCGTGCAAATAATTCTACTCTCGTACGTTAGGGATATGAGCCAATGATACCCGCCTATAAACCAAAGCTTGTGCCGAATGTAAACCTGCCACCGCTGCTTTGCTTCTTGTTGTGAGAACATTATAGCAGGTAGCAGCGGCGACAGATCGACAACCGGTGAGATGTACGCTCGTCCAGCGAGGCTTGTTCGTGGGTGCCCAGTTTCACCCCACACTCAGACGCCCGCTCTGACAGTCTCTTCCTTCACAGGAGAACCGAATCTCTACCCGGTACGTTTGAGCGCACTGATATCTACTGTACGGTGCGAACTTGTATCTCACAGAAAATGAGGAGCCGAAGGATCTCGTTAGCGACAGCGGGCTTGAGCCACAGTACGGACGCGGACGGGTAATGGATTGCGCGGAAAACTACCACGTGCTCGAAATAGTATGTTACCCTCAAACATTGCTTCGTCACATAAAAAGAGACTAGCTACTAACGTCTTCCTTCGATTATTTCTAATAATATAATATTCATAATAACAATAATGATATGATGCCAATCTTCGTATTTTTTGTGTTCTTCTATTGGTTTCATTGCTATTTGGATGTTAACATTTGAGAACTAAAATTGTATTATCAATAAATATTGATCAAACGAATTTCAAAAATAATGTTCTATTTTAGTTATTCTAAACTTCTGTCTTTAGTAGGTAGCGTTCGCCGTTTTCACGTTTTATGATGTAAGTGTCAGGATTTGAAATACCTACAAGTATTGTGAAGGTGTGGCAGTGATAAGATCGAACCTCAACATGTTTTGATCTCCAGAACGAAACATTCAACCCGTGCTTATTCAACGACAAAATGTAGATAAAAGCGGGCTACGCCTGCAAGTGCCATCTTCCTATGTTCAACGACATAACACACGGCTCGCTATTTATGAGCAGATAAAGCAGCTCTCCAATATTTCCGTGATTCCTGTCAGCCAAACAAAATTATGAGAAGGTGACCACGCTTCTGGCGCGGCATAGCAAACCGCAATTGCTAGGGAAGTATGAAAGATGCAAAGCTATATTTTGTGCCCGCGGGCTTCCTTATAAATTCACAAAGTAGATAACATATTTTTGTTATTAGAATGGTTTCCTGTGTAAAATAATTAAAAACAACTAAGGAGAATATTAAAGGCAAAGAAAATGTACAGACAACACGTTTGGAGAAGCGCTTTTGGCGCAGATATACAGAATCTCAGACACGTAGAATTATCACAAAACGCTGAGCTTGGGAGCTTGGGGCTGCAAATTATAAGTATAGTTTTTCTATATAATGCATTTTGAGACACTTTCAATCGCTGGCACCCTACTTCAAGTAACCTGCTTCCCGTTGACACATTACACGCTCCGTGTTGCAGCAAGTAACTCAGACACCGAGGAGAAGGAAAAGAGAAAATACGCAAAAGAAGGAAGAAAACAAAAGATAAGAAAGAAGGCAAAGAAAGAGACAGAGACGAAGAAGAAAAAGTCGAAGAAGAAAGAGTCGGAAACTAAGAAAGAAAGAAAGAAAAATGCGGAGATGAAGAAAAAGAAAGAAACGAAGAAGTACACGGAGAAGATGTAGAGGGAGAAGGCGGACAAGAACAAAGAAAAAATACCGGCCAAGAAAGAGGATATGATGACGGACAAGAACAAGAAAGACATGAGGACGGAGAAGTGGAGACAAAAGGGACATGGAGAGGCTGCAAAAGGTGACAGACGGAAAATAAACCTTTCCGTGGCTAAGCGCTAAATTCTTGTCTGCCCCTGAACTCCCATAGGCCGGCGCTTGCGCTATCATTCGACGAGGATTAGGCGCCCCTTTGCGATGGTCACAGTTGGCGGTCATCGCCGGACATCAACTGACCGTCGTACGGCGCCAAGACGTATCGCCCGGAGTCTCCCACATGCACAAGGCCCGCACACACAGACTTCTCCTTTTCGCCTCCATCGACGAATCCCTACACGCACACACACGCACGGACACGCACGGACACGCAGGGACACGCACGGACACGGACGGACTGACGGACAGACAGACGGAGGGACGGCCTTTCAGAAAAAAAACACACTTTTTCGATATCAGGACCCCAAAACGTGCATGTCCGTTGAAATCTCCAAATCGATTTTCCGCAGCATTATAAAACTTTCTCCATATTCCGTGTATTGATCTGCATATACGTACGTATACGTGAAAGTAAATACACAATACAGTTAGGACCAACATACATTCGAGATCTGAATTCAATCGAGAGCAACGGTAGTAAATTCGTGTGTTTATAATGTGAAAAGTTTTACAAGGTTTCCTTTTATGGATTAACTGCCATTTCATTGTCTAAAAAATAGAGATAGGCCTTGTCGTCACTTATATTATTAAATTATAATGCACGCAGAACTTGAAAGAAAACTATGCAGGCTGCAGACTTTTGAGAGTTGTCTAGAGAGATATAGTTAGAAACACAGAACTCGGAAAACATTCAAAAACAATGAAACACATTCAGTTTTTACTGAATAAATGGAAATATGAGAGCGCGTACCGACGGAATTATCCTACTCAGTCCGTCACTAATTACGGTACAGTTGCCGTTACGCAACGACGAAGAAAAAGGTTCATCCAATGTGTGTGCACTTACCACATGACGCCGACGCTGGGGTAGGCCTCGACGCGGCCCGCCAGCCGCAGGTCGGCGCCGGCCTTCACCGCCACCTCCGGCTCCAGCTCGAAGATGAAGTCCGGGGCGACGTAGGCGCGGATGCCCTTGTCCACCACCAGGTGGCAGCGGCACGACACGGCGCCCAGCGCGTTGCGCGCCGTAGCCGCATAGCAGCCCGAGTCGTCCAGCGCGGCGCGGCTCAGCTCCAGCGTGTGGAAGTGCTCCTCGTTCCAGAAGGCGTGGCGCTCTGCGGGGCAGGAAGGGTTTGCGCTCGGATGAGATCGGTTCATTGGTTAGTTATGACGGGGGCGGCGACTACTGAGGTCATTAGTCCCTAAAGCACAGTGCATGTTTTGCTGGATGACGAGACCCGGCACCGACTTACGTCGGCGTGTGGGAACTGTCCCCAAGCAGATATCGGCGGGCCACCGCCCCAGCCAGGACAAGCTCTAAGCTCCCGACTGGTCTCCTGGCAAGAGTGATCGTTTAATGCATGGAAGTGTACGTGAGTAAGATGCGAGAATAGAACAACTAAGAGAAAGGAAAGATCGCGCGCGATCCGAGGCTCGTTTCTTAGGGTACTGCTTCGGCATTCGCCTGGCTATGATAAGAAAAACAACGGAAAACTAGAGCAGTCCGCCGGTACAATTCTTCTCCAGGCAGCGGCTGAATTCGGCCTAGCTATGTAGCTAGTGCTAAAAAAATCCTGCCATCATCAGGACTCAAAGCCTAGGACCAACCGGTTAGAGACATTATAGTACCATCTGCCGATGCCCTGAGCTACATAAGCGGGTGAACGAAGATTTACGTAGCTTTTAGACGGGTAGAAAGCTCACCGTGACCATGTACTATACTCGGCATGCAAAGGAATCCTGAATATGTGACCGGAAAAATTAAACGCTCCGACAAATTTCTGCCCTAAGCAGATCCCATTTTAGCTTGGCCGGAGAACGCATATGGATACATATTACTGTGGCTGTAGTGGCACTCCCTGACGGATAATACCGGCGTAAATTTTGCTGATAGGGCTGAAAACATCTAGAGGGCTAAAAATTAAATTTACAGTAATTTCGCCCCATGTCGAGGGTGAGTCAATGGATTAATATTACACGTGCTAGGCCTTTATTATAGATTTCTTGCTAGAGGTTTCTTATCAATTATTTAGATTTCTCGTGAATTTTATCAAATGTAATACATCTATTTTTAAACGTGATTAAATTGCGGCTTCCATCACACTTTTTCTTATGTTAAAATGTGTCTTTATTCCTCCCAGGATTAAAGTAACCACACCAACCAGTGACTCCTAATATCATTATTATCTGAGAAAGAAAAAAGGATATACCGTAAGTCTAAGAGAATACATATACGCATATAAAAACTAACCTTCAACAATAAATACGGATAGTCACAAGGTACTTTCATAATTCTGTAAAATTCAAACTTTGAAAAAAATCTTGTTTATTTGCTAGTAGCCTTTTTTATGTCTCATCAAAAATCCAATAAATTTACATTGTCTAAAAAGATCAATAACAATTAAAGCATTAAACACGTATCGTCAACAATGTTTCGTAGAAAAAATACGTACTACTTACGTACTCGTGGCTTTGCTTTGACAAAGTTCTGACTGACTTGCATGATTTACAGAAACAAAGCTTCAGAGTTACACTTTCCTGTAATATGAACATTTGTTGGGTTGTGATAGATTTGTGATAAGGTGGCGATAGATTTTTCTCGTAGTAATTGTATTTAAGTTTACCCTCTTGTTCATTACACATAAGTTTACATTCTTGTTCGTTACATTACCTTCGAGGAAAATAATGAATATTCAAAACATGTATTAAACGGATTAGAAGAAAACCATTATTTACATTTCTTTTTTTGTGTGTGTGTGTGTGTGTGTGTGTGTGTGTGTGTGTGCGCGCAATCAGACAAGAAAAAGCGACTCATACCGCTGTACTGAAGAGGGTACTGTCACCGAACGAAGTGTTCAGGGCCTAGC